TAAATCTATACTATTAGTTATAATAAAGTGTAAACACACACTATTTTGTTGCCTAAGATGGAAGCAATTGCAGCATTTTTTGGAATGATTCTTTTTTTTAATAAAAATACCTACACTTACGTAAGGCTTTAGGCTATATATTTTCACGCCATTAAACTTAGGGGGTAAATATTTTGGATAAAAACCCTAATGTGGGAAAGAGACCATAAGTTACTGCCAACATCAACGAAGCAAGATTGCCAAGTTTTGTTATGTCATGTCATTTTGACATTTGCACTTGACAATTAGACACATATAAACAATAAAATAATTGTATACTGATGAAATCGCACGGGAACAGCTAGTCTTTGATAAAATTTTGGGTTCAAAAATTTAATTAATGTCATTCACAGAGTTGGGATTCGTGTCATTCACAGAATTTTTAATTTTCGTTTTCCTTTTATACTTCAAAGCGAATCCAGTAAAACGAAATTGCAGATTATTTTTACGTACAATAATAGAAAATTGTTATCTGTTTTTTATTCGCAAATTTTTATGAATTTCGGTGGGTTTTTTACTCTTCATGTTAAAAGTAAACGAAGAACTGAATTTATAAAACAAATCATCAGAACTTGACCACATAATAAAGATGAAATCTCGCTCTTGAAAGTCAAATGAGCGAATGCTTAATGGCGTGTTCAGATTGTAATGGTTCAATACGCGGCGTCGTATCGCGTAACACTAATCTCCTCGACTATGAATTCACCCTCGTTCATAATGCGATACTGTAATAAATATCAGCTTTATTATCAAACCTAGAATATAAAAATCCTTTAAAGGCGCTTCTATCTCCTTTTTCATTACACCACTTTCTAATGTGTGCAAAAAAGTTACATAGTTTTCCAAAATATGGTGAGGGTTATATTCCTGGTCAAACTAAATTTGTAACGTGTTATTTTTCTGATTACCTAAAAGTTGTTGTTAATGTATAGACATTTAAATATTTAAGGAGAATGAGGTAAGTAAAGAAAAATCATAAATTACGAAAAGATACGATAGCGAAAACCCACGCTTAAAGAAAAAAAGGTTGTTACAGAATTCAGTAAGCAGGATTTAGACTCTTTATAGAGTAGCCTCAATCCTGTCCTCACTCAACAGCACAGTATGAACAATGTTCAGTATATACAGCGTGTTCCTTCATTATACCTCGTCGCCCTCATTACACTGCGCAGCGGATAATGTGACGGATAGTTTCTGATCACTTTCATGCGACCAAAGCTATGGAATTTATTTTTGGACTAGCCTTTTACCGCGACTTTGTGAGAGCTGTTTTAAAAAATCTAGTAAAAATCATAGTCTGTTCATTAGTGATAATGTCGCTTTCCAATGGTAAAAGGATTTTTTTAATCAGTCCAGTAGTTTTTGAGTTTAATAGTTAGATTAGAAAGATTAGCAGTTTTTTCTTTGTTTCAATTAATACCCTCCTACTTAATTCTAGAATTTCAGTAATGATAGTATTAGTAACAACAGAAATGTCAATTTATAAGTTACTCGTAAAAATATTTTACAATCTCCCAGCGGCAAAGACTAATAAAATTCATTTTCTAACGACGAAAAGGCAATTATGTGAAGAGTACTTCTCTCAGGGCTCGAACTTAAATTGAGGAAGTCCGTTCATTTGATAAATATCTCTAATGATTTCATTTCAAAGAATTCTCAAGTTTTTTCCGGAAGATCTGATGTCGACAGACAATAAAACTTCTAGTTTATGAACACAGACTAGTATAACAACCATTTGTTTTAAAACTGCACAGTCACTCAGCACTAAGTATAGACTATTGGTAATCTACACTAAGGGTCTTCTTTAACATTTTAAGTCTGTAACATTATAAGTCAACAAGTTCGTTATCGTTGCAGATAATATAATATGAGATAAATTTTTGATGGGAGAGTAATAAAAAGTGGCGATAGTGAATGACGTGGGTTGTAATAACATAATGCGGGGCTAGGGCGCCGTGACGTCGCGACCGCACGGCGTCTATCCGAACATCGTTCCTCTCAGAGAAAGCTCGATACAATCGCTGCGGAATTTTTACTCAATCTATATGAATAAAATAAAGAAAAAATATTTGTAATTTTGGATTTCTCTATATATTGAGATAATTTAAAAACAACTGACCCGATTTCAAAATCTTACACCATTAAAAAGCTATGTTAACACTGAGTAAAATAGGCTATATTTTTAAATTTCACGTGGACGAAGCCACAAGAAACAGCTAGTAATTGATGAAACAAATGTTTCAAAAACTCGTTACTAGAATTTCAGATCGTTAATAATGATGTATGATTCTATCTCATGTAATTATTTTACACACGTATTTAACATTTTAAATATTAACATTCCAATTAAACGTTTGTTTTGTTCATTTTTCTTTAAACTGTTATTTTTTTAAATGACTTATACTTTCATCTTAACACTTTCATCCCTTAAGAACATAAATAAGTGAAATAAGAAAATTTATGCATACCTACCCTTAAAATATAAATCTATCGCAGAATCGTTTCCGAAACAATCCAATGACTCAGCGAAGCTTTATCGACTAGTCAGGGGTTGCCAAATGTGTCCGCAAAGCCAAGGTCAAGCTATAGACTATGCAGTAACATTCAATGTAAACAAAAACCTATCTAAATGAAACCAGATACGATCCAAATTCGTATATCTCTTTATTGGTACAAATATCAATAACAATAATAGATACATTGCTTATGAATATTACTTAGCTACAATCGATTATTTTAGGCGTAATAATATATGGGAACCACCTTTTTTGAGTTAGTCGCTTTGCTGTGATTTTATTTCCTATTCCGCCACAAAACGATTACAAACTCCGTTTTAAATAAAGTACGATAAACTTTATAATTTACGATGTGCAAAAACAATTTAACAAAATCCGAACACGTTCTTTTTAATCTATGATTCTATCTACAAGCTACACACACGTGCTTGAAGTGTGACGATTTGTTCGCGTCCACTGGAGTAATCAATTTAGCCAATTGGATACCGTAAATATTTCCAATTGCTGGACGACTGAGAAGAATAGCGTCGTTTCTATTAACAAGTACTAGATATAAAAATGCTTAACAATACTTTATTAGAAAAATACAAATAGATATATAAAGTGCTAAACGACTGCTAGAAACGGTTTATTACATTTTGTATAAAGAAATATGGAAAAAGGTCGCTAAAATTGGCTTCTCCAAAAGGAGTTAATGAATAAATTTGAAATAAACATTTGTGTTGACAAAGTAACTTCGAGGCACAACGAAATGAGCGACTCCTAATGGTCTGTGAAATGAAATCGTTCACGTAGAAATATTTCCAACCTTTGAGAATTCAATATCTTGTTGCGGAGTAAATATTCTATTTCCGCGGGGCGATGGTCTGAGATTTAGATGTCAGATGGCGTTTAAGATTGCAACGTTATATTTCAACTAGAAATGCAATATTTTTTTTATTTCGTATTTAGATATCTATTAGTATTGAGATATTTAATTATGTAACCAGTGGCTAGTTATCACTCGTGCGCAAAAGCTTTGCCGATAGCTTCATGACTTCACGTCGATGTTAATGAGAGGGGCTCATCGGCAAACCTTTTATGAGCGGCTATCATAGTAATGTTAAAAAATATCGAACACTTGAATAATTTTCCACAATTCTTTTGTTTTTTGTTCTTGTTTTATCTGAAAACTAATAATTCTAGCAGTAATTAAGATACAAGTAAGATTAAGGTTGTAAGTAAGGAGTTATGGCTTTTAAATTGTTGCATTTAGCACATAAAATATGCATAAATACGGAAACAGTAGCGCATGCAAAACTTCGCCAATTATAGTTTCTAGATTGACTTAGCTAGTAGGAATAGCATTGTGATATATTCAGAAGTTAGAATGTTCGCTTTCCCAGTGCTAAGTTATTGTCAAGGCTATAATTCACAAGTCATTCGGTACAACTTGAACTTGAAATTTTATTTACATAAAAGATAGAATTAGAAAAACATTATTTTATTGTTTACATTTGTCAAATTCTTAATTGCAAATATCAAAATACCAATTATCTCACTATGGCAATTTTGCTTCCTTGGCAGCAACTTATGGTCTCTTTCCCACATTAGAGTTTTTATCCAAAATATTTAGCTCCTAAGTTTAATGGCGTGAAAATATATATCCTAAAGCGTGACGTAAGTGTAGGGATTTTTATTAAAAAAGAATTATTAAAAAATATGCAGTGATGGCTGACATCTTAGGCAACAAAGAAGTGTGTGTTTACGCTTTATTATAATAGTATAGATTTGTCATTAATACTTTTCCTTTGACTACAAGTCGTTCCGCTTCCTTCCGATACTTGACCTAATTTTAAAGCCTCAAAACCATCTCTTGCCAATTTACCGCCAACGAAAGCGTGCCTTATCTTATTTTTATTCAAGGAACATGATGGAATGATTTTATTTTGTTCTGCTGTGTTTTTTTTGTGATTGACAATAATGCTAATAAAATAATTTCCATTACTACATTATTAAATTTAGAAATAAAAATTAGATTACTGGCTAGTATTATTTCCGAAATTTTTATAACCTTTTGTAAATACTAGTGTTAAAAGTTAATGTAACATCACACTACAAGGTTATGAAAATGTATGTTGTTTAGACAAATGTTTATATTGTTTAAAGCAATTCAGATAAAGTCTTAACTTCATTTCTCAAATACAACGATAAGCAACATTCTAATAGTAATATATCGAAGAATTCAGATTAAGTCAAAACTCAGTTGAAAGACATTTCCATCGACCTCTTCACTGTGCATTTCAAGATGGAATTTCTAAAGCAAATAATTTGGATGAAGTGTGTCTTTTCATATCTTTTTGACTTGAACAGGTACTCGACCTGAGAGCACTTTGTCGCTCTTACACGCTCGTCTCCCTCCTCCATACAATGCTTCTCTTTGTTTCTATCTTCCAGTGAATATTTAATCGTTTTAATTTATTTCTTTACATCAAACTAGCTGTTTCTCCTGACTTCGTCCTATGCTATGTTACTCAGGGATAACGCAGATTCCTAATTATGAAAGAAGTTTTGAAATCGGCCTAGTAGTTTTTGAGTTATTTCAATACATACAACAATACAAATCTTTCCCCTTTGTAATGTTAGTATGGATAGCAAAACACAAGAAATTAACTTGTTAAAAGGGACAAGTCAGTAACATCATAACTGAGTTTTGTTCCTTAATATTGATCTGAACTGAAGTTACATATGTGAAAGGGGTAATTACTTTGAATGTTTAATTTCAAACCGATTTGTTCTCCAAATTAAGCATTTGTTTTCTACAAAATTTGCATTTACATCTACATTCTTCATTTTTCATTAATGTTATGATTAGAGATTATTCCACGTGAATTTAAAAGTATAGTGAATAAAAAGCGAATTCTGGTGTGATTCATTACCGTGTGTGTGGAGGCCTGTAATCTGCTCTCCCTTCGGACTTCCATTTGTGAGGGATCGTTAAGTGACGTCACGGCGGCCATGTCTGCAGATAATACGTCATAAAATAAATTACTGTCGTTATGCGTAGCGAGGGAAGCCCGCGTGTAGGAGTGAGCGACGTTGATGGGCTATTCAGGCTAGATGTATCATAGTCAGTATATCAAATTGCATTATAGTAATTGCTTTTCGAAATAATAAATATATATCTATACTAGCAGTCGCCCGCGACACCGTCCGCGTGGAATACAGAAAGAACAAAAGTAAGTAGCCTATGTGTTCTTGCAGACTATCCTTAACATCTTACATCTATACCAAATTTCATCGAAATCCGTTCACCCGTTTTGGCTACAAACTCTAAAAAACATCCATCCATCCATCGATCCATCCATCCATCCTTCTAAACTTTCGCATTTATAATATTAGTATGATCTATACTATTATTATAAAGATGAAATTGTTGTACGTATTGATATAACTCAAAAACTACGCGGGCGATTTAAATTCTTTCACCATTAAAAAGCACCGTTATCACTAAGTAACATAGTCTATATTTTTTATTTCACGTGAATGAAGTCGGGAGCACCATTTAGTGTATTATTACTTCATGCAGACGAAGTTTCAGGACTAATTTCGTTAAGCAACCTCTTTTTTTATATAACATAAGGTAGCAAACGAGCAAGCAGCCACCTGAATCCATCGAAATGGAAAGCGACCGCTGCCCATAAACATCCGCAATTGCAGATGCGTTGTCTACCCTTAATTGACGGAGGAGGAAACGCAACTAAAGAGGACAGACAATATCATTATTAGGACATCAGATTATCTATGTTTACGACTAATCACAGATAATCTTTTTTGTTCATTATGTCAACAGAAATATTATTAAAACTCAAGGAACATATCAACTTGAGAAATGACGGCCTTGATGGTGATTAATTTTGTTCAATTCTTGACTCTATCCAAGTTAGGAAATTACGATGTCCATATTCACAGTATAATACAGGACATTCTCTATTGCTGCATGCAGTGCAGCTATTTTCTAAATACTGACATAATTTTTTTTTACATATTAAGGAAAGATTATGTACAAATATTATTTAAACTTAGTTTAACAAGGAAGTAATACGAACAGATTTTCTTTATGGTAACTTGTCCATTTTTATCACATTTTCATCTTAACCGAATATTCATGTAATATAGCTCACATTTAAATATTTGTATTGTAATGAACACGTAATTCAAAACATTGGAATGGATAGCGAGAATCAAAACAACTGAGAACAAAGAAAACTGTTTTGATAAACCAATAATCCGATCAGTGTGTATTCACATTGCACGGATTTAAATAAAGACAAATATAACAAACTTTTTAAATGGTTAGTGTATTTTGAAATCTTATACTATGCTATACTATTATACCAAAAAAGTACATATGGAAAAAAAATCAATTTGAAATGTGGTAGGTATTTTAAAAAACTTAAAAATGCAACTAACATTTATTTATAATTCTTTATAAGTTTTGAAAGAATGTCCTGGATTGTACACAATGTTTGGTAAACTTAATAAGTAGCGTCGGTGTCGCGGCCTTGCATGACGTAACATTGTGCCTCCGATCTTCACACCGACTGAGCTATCGTCCGTGCGCCCGCGCCGTTCTTTCGTTCCAATTTCAAAGTTCCCTTTTTCATCAATCGTTCTATAATGCCAGTATTTTTTACATTTAATTAAAACTTTTTTTAATTAAATACAGATAATATGTCTTGTTAAAGTGTGGCTAGTGTGTAGTGCATAGATGAAAAATAAAATAAAATTATGTGATCATCGCAAGTGTATTGGATTATAGCGAAACTGTTTATATTTGTGGAGGATTGTTCTATTATATGACAGCGTAAGTGTTCATTTCTGTTTAATACTTAATACTTCTACTTTTGACAAGGGAATATTTATATTCAGATAGAAAGGTAGATTAATAAAAAAAGATAAACATATATTTTTACATTAATTATAGCTAAATAAATTAAATTGAAAGATAAGGTCATGATATGCTAATTTTACATTAAATTACTAATGTAGGTAGAATAAAAATAATGTGTGTTATATATAGATCTAGGAAAAATAACGTCAAGATTAGTTATTGTAAATTAAATATGTTTAAAGGTCTGAACAAATTTATAACTTTAAAGGCACAACGAAATGATACAAAGTAACAAAGCTAGAGAAGGTAAATGTCAAATCCAAAACAGGTTATAGGGAAGCCAAATAAAGAATTCCCGCATACCTGAACCAGTCACATTTCTTTTTACTCTTGTATCGAATCCGTACACTAGTCTAGAAGAAAGTACAACATAGTTTGAACAAAATTTTCATATAATATTTTATAAGTAAGTTATTCTTACAAACGATATAAGCTATATTTTATGCTTAGTTTTATGTTAAGAGTAAGAGAATCGTTTCTCAACAACCGCAATATCCCTGACAAATTAATTCAATGACTAGTAAATTATTTATGTGACAGCAAAAGAATTGTTTTTATTACTTAGACCAGTAATTAAATCAATTGTTGATATTACCAATATAAATCTTGTTCTTTCTGATTTTAATTTGTAACTGTAGAAATAATGCTATAAAAACGATAATTTTACGTCTCACTTTTGATAACTTATAAAATCAACACAAAAGTAAGGCATAAGTGAATATGTGTTTTTCTGTTTTTGCTATTCTATTGAAAGCTGTATATACTTTTCAAATATGGTTTCTTCTAGTTTTTTCTCCACACGCTCGTGAAAGCTGTTAGAAAATTATGTATTCTTTGAAAGAAACTTGTTAAATACAGCTTCCATATGAAGATCGGCTTCTAATATAGAAACTTGTACTTCTATATATTAGTATATACATTCTCCAGAAGTCAATGTTTTTATAATGTATCGTAGTTACTGATTAGCGCACTGTATTAAAAAATATATACGGTTAGAACTCCCAAGACTATTTAAGTGATAGGCGTCAGAAGCTGATGATCTAGGCTAGGGATAGGAGTTTTTATGTCCATTTTTTGACATTCTATGCAACTGACAACTGTCAATCCTAGCTCCTGCTTCTGATGACGCCAAAAACCGCAATATACTTTCTTGATTTCTTGTTTACAGAAATTATTTATAAAGAACTTTCCCAAGTTAGTTAACTAAATCATAATATTAGTGCTTGTTTATAATTGTACATGTATTTGCAATGATATGTTAATTTCGCTTGTCCTTCTTAATACGCATCTCATTATATCGTATGTAGTTGGCATGCATACGACTGTGCATCGACCTGATGACACAAATGATATGTCCCTAACGACCGACGCGTAGATAAATTTAAATTGATTCTCATAAAATAATGTGAAGATAGAACAATAGCCGTCGCTAAGGGGCGAAGGGGAACCCCCCCCCCCATATACAATAAATAGTAAAAAAAAATATATAATTGAAAAATTGGACCTCACTTTTATAAACATTCTCTTTAGGATAAAAAGTAGTTTTACTACTTTCCCCTCGATAATCCTCCTCCCCCCTAAATCAACAGGCGACGCCGTTTGTAGATAATGAGTCATGCTATTGAAATTATTAATTTATAGTTCAAACTTGATGGTATTAATCTTTTTATAACACTTACTTCAATAGTTAGGTTATAGATGTACATCAAATGTCATTGCAGTTAAAATACCGACGAAATTACACCATTTTCAAGCTATGTAAGGAATATTATATTCCGGATCCATAAAATGTAATGTCATCCGCAGCGCAGTCTTTTTGACCGACTTCCCAAAAGAAGGAGGTATTCAATTCGACCGTATGTTTTTTTTTTTT